CTCTCTCTCTCTCTCTCTCCTTGGCCCCCTAACTCCAGCACTTTGGCAGGTTTGACGAGAGAATAAAAAGCTCTCCCAATGAAGTATCCCATCTCTTGGGCGGTGGGGTAGGGCTGGGAGGCCGCTTTGGGTCTCAAAAGCAAAACCCAGGAATGCTCCTGGGTAAGAGGAAGTAGGGAATGGGGGCTACAGGCACTTCAGGAAGCTCTTCGCTTTGGGTCCTGGGTACTAACACCCCAGTTCTTTCCAAATGCCCCTCCTGTCCTGGATGTGCTGTGCCCAGGGTGGTGCCTGAGAGGCCCCTTCCCCAGGAACCTTGCCTAGCCATAGTCCAAAAGGCTATGGAGGCCCCAGTCGGGATGAGGCGGAGAGAAGGGGCGGGAGACAAACTCAGGCCTAGAAAATGTTGGCTTTGGAACCGAGGACACGCAACATCCGGAAATGGAGCCTCTGGATGTTGTCTGGGAAAGGGGTTCTGGATTTCCCTTTAAGGGTGGAGAAAGAAAGAAACCGAGAGACACAGAAGCACAATCATGGCATGAGGGAAGGAGGGGGAGGGGAGAGAGGAGAGAGAGAGAAAGAGAGAGAGAATCACGTCACACACACCATGCCCACTCCCTTTTTTTCTGGGATCTAAGGCAGTCTGGAGAAGCCAAGCCAAACTAACTGAATCAGCTGTGGGGATCCCGGATTCCAAGAATGTAGGCCTTTGGCCTGTGTGGAGCCTTTCTGCCCCTCGGACCTAGAAGCCCCAAAACTGACCCTGGCCCCAGCACACTTCCATACAATTGCTTGACCAGAAAACTCAGGACCCCTATCTGCCTCCTGCAGGCTTTAAATTTCCTTGGAAGTTAAAGGGGATGTGAGCCGTAGCCTAACTGCTGGGGGAGTTGTTAGAGGCCCCACTGTTAGGGCCTATTGTGTTGTACAATTGTGAAAATTCAAACGGTTTCACAAATCTGCCTTTAAAGGTTTTCTTTTTCCTATAGTACTCCCCAATAACCCCCCCCCCTGCTTTTTCTAAAGCTCTGTCTTTCTGTAGAAAACTGGAACTTTTCTGTTGTACACCAAGGTCTTGGTAGCAATATAGAACAGATCACCTTGAACTCTAGGTGGGTTTACCCAAGAACCCTCACCAGCCTGCACTTGAATTTGAATCACTTTGTAGGAAAGGCCCCCTGAAAGCCAGAATTCCTCCAGATTGTAGGTCTGTGATATAAAGTGGCTCACCCTCAATACATTGCTAATAACTGAAGACACCAAGCCCAGAAACATCAATTGTTTTATTGCATTTGAAAACAACCTGAAAGGGAAAGAAGGAGATATCTATTTGGTGCTTTCTGGGTTCTCATCAGGAAAGGCAGAAATACCAGGATTGTCCCGGAAAGTCAGAACTCTGTCAGATTTTTTACTTGGTGGATTTCCAGGTACAGCTTTCAATTGGCAAATATATATATATATATCGAAATAGAATTCCAGTGTGTACGTTTATTAATGCTTATACAGCGCAGACGTGGGTGAATCCCTAAATTAAAAAGAAAAATCATAGCCACACTAAAACCCAAATGTTCTTAAGCAGGAACCTGTCACAAAGAATTTATGTTCATCAGAAGGCAACGTCTGGTGCTTTCAGGGGACCACGAAAATTCCAATGACACAGAGAAGTCAGTTCCAGCACTCGCCCCTACATAAAGATGACATGAAAATTCTCACAGCCATTCCTATCAGAGGCCGACATTAGAGTCCCTTTGTAGCTGAGGGTAGACTTGAAATTCTGAGCTTCCAGCTCCCCCTGTCCGCCCACCCCCCACCCCCGCCCCAGTGCTGGGAGAACTAGAAGAATAAAATGTTTTAGTTTGCCTTTTTTCTTTTTCCTCTCCAGTACTAGGAATTGAACCCAATGCCCCATACACACAAGGAGAGCATTCTGTAGCTGAGCTACATCCCCAGCCTTGCTCCTTGCTATGTATGTAGACCAGACTAGCCTTGATCCCACAGAGATCCACCTGCCTCTGCCTCCCTCCTGAGTGCTGGAACTAAAGGTGTGTGCCACCAGGCCTGGCCCAAAGAAATCAAATTAAACTCTGGAATTAATGGAGTGCTATGCAGGGATTAACAAACAGCAAGCTGGGGCTGGAGAGATGGCTCAGGGGTTGAAAGCACTGGCTGCTCTTGCAGAGGACCTGGATTCCATTCCTAGCACCCACATGGTAGTTAACAATGACCCACAACCCCAGTTCCAGGGAACTCCAACACTTTCTTCTGACCTCTACTACAGGCATTGCATGATAAGAATGCACTCACACACATGCAGGCAATACACTCAAACGCTAAAAAATAGTAAGTAAAATATTTTTAAAAAGAAAGAAAACAGCAAATGAAGCTAGGCATGGTGGCACATGCCTTTGGCACAGTCCTTTAGGTGGATTTCTGTGAGCTGGAGGCCAGCTTGGTCTCCATAGTGAGTTCAGGCCGGCCAGGGAGACAAAGTAAGATCCTGTGTCAAAAATCCAAAGAAAACAAACAAACAAACAAACAAAAAAAACAACAAAAAAAGGAAAAGAAACAACAAACTGTTACTATAGTTAATATGTGAATAAAAGCCAACCATAAAAGAGAAAAATTGTATGATTCCATGTCTGTAGTGACTGAGGTCAGAATAGAAATTAACCCAGGGAAGGCACTAGGGAGGGGCAGAAAGAAGATTTGTAGGGCTATGGAAATGTTCTGTATCCAGTCTGGTTGCCAGTTATGTGGTTGTGTTCACTTTGTACAAACTCATCAAACTGTATACTTGAAATTTCTGCATTTTCTCCATGCAAGTTATATCTCAGCTTATGAAGACTAATAACTAAATCAAAAAAATTAATTTGTAGCACATGAGAGTCCCTGGGTTCCAAATTCAACACTGAAAAAGAAAAAAATAGCAGCATCGTTTGCAGCTGAACTTTTTGGAACTACATTGCTTGTACCCACACAATAGATTGCTTGTATTCACATACACAAAAATAAGCAGCTGAGTGCATGTAATTATAGAGCTCAGAGGTGACCAACTTAAACTTTGCCCCAGAGACACTCACCAGTCCTCTAGCTGGCCCCCTTGGGACCAGACACATTTCAATACAAGTAGTACTATGAGTTTTGATGTGTTTGCTCTGTAATTTATTTAGCATCTATTAGATCCTGGGGAACAGTTCCAGTTCCACATTTATTAGTGTGTGTGTGTGTGTGTGTGTGTGTGTGTGTGTTCCTGTTTCCTCTACATGCTTCTATGTATATGAGCAACTGTTGCTGACCTGTGGTAGAGCTCAGTTGGACTCCAGTAAAAAACGAGATTTAGTTCCTTTATCTGTAAAATGGTGATAATTCCTAATTTAGAGAAATGCTATGACTATTCGATGAGACTTTATACATGAAAGCATTTTGTAAACTGAGCATGCCTTCTATTTGTGCTCCTGTATGTTTATGTTTCTAATGAAACCATCTGCTTTTATTTGAAAAGAACAGTTGCCCTAGAGCACGTGTGTCACTTCTCAGTTGCAAACTACAAGTAAAACCCAACCTGGGTTCCCACAAAGAAATTGAGACCCAGCCTCCATGTCCTCCTTGGGACTCTTCACCCAACCCTGGCGCTCTGGTCTCCTGGCCAGCCAGGGCGAAGCCGGCCCTTGCCCCGGTCGCACCGAGGCCTTTGTGTCCCGCTAGGAGCCTCCAAGCAGACCCACCCTCAGGAGCCTGGAGCTCCCCAGCCCCCTTTACAGACCCAGCCGAATGCACTGAAAGCCTCGGCAGGCTCCCTTACATACCCGCCAGACACTTCCAGGAAGGTCAAGGCCAAGTTGAAAGTTAAGCGTCTGTTTACCTCCGGGAGCCCATTCTGTGCAGCCCAGCAGACCGCCAGTGACCTTTACTGCCCGGCCTTTGAGAGAGGCCGACCCGCCCCCGGGGGTTCCGGCCACGGGGACTTGGCATCTGGGTGTCAACTCCCACCCCCGCCCTGGCTCCGGAGGGAGGGATCGAGGTACCTACCCTCTCCAGTTAGGGGTATTTGTTAAATTACGTTTTTAAAAAATTTTTGTTAAAAGTGAGCTTCGTTATCCCAAGTGGAACAGTGTACATCGTGGCGACCGTGGCGGCCTTCAGGTTGGTGGTGAGGAATAATGAGGATTTATTTGCAGCGGGGCCCGGGCCAGGACACTTCCTTTCCTGGAAATACCATGGCTGAATTTCTTGGGGTTCTTTCGTTTCTCCCGCGAATTGGCATAATTGGGCTGCACTGCCCCTTTCTTTTCTTTACCCTTTCCTCTTATCCTTTTCTTTGGCTGTTTCTCTCTCTCTCTCTCTCTCTCTCTCTCTCTCTCTCTCTCTCTGTGCGTGCTTTCTTTTCCACTTACATTTGTGTTTCTTTTTCCTCTTTCCTTCTATTTTAGTTGTCTTGATTTTATATTCTTTCCCGATTTCTTTTCTCTTGATTGCGTGTATTCTGAATCCTCTCTCTTTTACCGTTTTTATTTTTCCTTTGTTTCCCTACTAGTTGCCTGACACTTGCACTATTATGTTTGCTTTCCTCCCTTTCATTTTTCTTTTCTTCGCTGTCTTGTTTTTCCTTCTTCGGTTTTTCTTCTTTCTTTTTCTTTCTTATCTCTCTTTTGTTTTACTCATTTTCTCC